ATGTATTTTTATTTCTTTTGTAATATATTTAAAAATGTAATTAATATGTAAATATAAAATTTAATAAAGAGAATAATAATAAATGTTTATCATAAAAATAAAAATATAAAATAAAAAGTAAATAAACATAAATAATTTTTTTTATAAAATAAAAACATTTTTTTTTTTTTATTTGTTTTTTAAATTATAATAGAATTTGCAATACACCCTGGGGATTATTTATTATCAGTACAAGTTGATCATTCACTTTTATTATTAAATGCTATTATTTTTACATACGTAAAAATAAGAGTGTATCATGAAAGTAAAATATCCACACAAACTTATAAAAAAGAGTCTAAAAGACAATTGTATACAAAACTGATGCTTCACAGCGCAGTTTGATTTTACACTGAATATAAAACCTTTTAACCAAATATTTCCAGTTATTTTATTATTTATACCTATTCTATTCAATTCGAAATATATTATTTAGAATATTTAAATTAATTTATTTTATTACAAAATTGTTTTAAAAAAAATTGTTTCTTAGTTGTTATGGGTAAAATTTCATACGGTAGTCAACACTGGCCCACCATCGTAAAGTTATATCTTTGTCTTTGTCTAATCCGAGCGATGGTATTGTTCTTGTCTCGCGTGTAAATGAGACATAAATATGTTTACTTTCAAATGTTTAGTGGTATCAAAGCTACGTCGTCAAAGTTCAAAAGTGGTTACACTTTTTTCGACGTGTGATAATGAGGTTTGCTTCTCTAGTGTTGTTTTAACTCAATGAGAGGAAATAGCAATATATTTCTAAGTATTTGTGTAAAAGTCAATGCGGTTTAGTGTAGTAGGTATTTATTATATGTCATATATATTTATAACTGTTACCCGCGACTTCGTTCGCATAGAACTTTGAAAGGGGTAAAAACTGCCTTAGTGGGTTCGATTCCCGGACCGGGAAAAATTTTAAAGGGTGTTTCTGAGTGGGAAAATAGCCTAAGTTACTCGTTATATAGATAGCTACCGGGTAATAAAATATTAATATTATTAATTATAAAATATAGTTTAGAAGATTACCCGGAACAAACAGACAGACAGATAGACAGACAAAAAAAATACACTGGTTTTTAGGCATAGGTATCGTGCAAATAACCATGTGAGCATGTAATTATTATTTTTATTTATTTGTATAGATTACTCTTATAAATACACTAATATCAACCTTTTAGTCAGAATGCCTTGTTTTACAAAGGTTTACCAAACGTGTTCTGCTTATTACGCTTATTTCTCAAGGATTGAGTTTCCCCTTAACATATAAATGTAGACCTTAAATGGTATAAATTGTGATCGCAATTTAGTAAATGCTTACTATTTTTATTATCGTTCAAAATTTTTACTACAAATCATGCATCGCGATATGGAAGTTCTGGCACTGATTAGTAAATTTACAACTTACCATTGCATTGGATAGTAATTTAAATGATCTTAGCATTTAAATTGCTATCCACAACACCAAGACCCAAATTCCTTAATTGCTTTTAAAAAGCTCTGGCCAGGTAAGGCGAAGGTTGTGACGCAAAAAATGCAATGCAAACGGCAAAGGAAGTTGTATGTATACTAATCGGCGCCAGAACTTCCATCGCGATGTATAATTTGTAGTTACTCCGTAGAGCGTCTTCGTGAGATAGCATTCAATTATGAAGGTTTTTTTTTGTAAATTTTCTAAAAATGAAACCTAGCTAGATCAATTAATCGACCCGTTGGAGCCGTTTAAACCTTCTTTCTAAGGAGAGGCCTATGTCCAGCAGTGGACTATTAAAGGCTGTTGATGATGATGATGATGGAGCCGTTTCCGAGATTCAGATTTTTTCAAAAGCCGGTATGTTGTGCGCCACAGGTACCTGCTTATTATACTTTTTGTTATTAGTAGGTGTACTTACAACTGTTTTGAGATCGTCAGGTTATATGTACTCGTATAACCGGTGAAACAACTGTAAATCACTCTGAAAAAAGTAGAAACAATGGAAAATATGATGATATGCTTGGAGTTTGCTTAAAGGATAACATATGTACTAAAATCAACCGACAAAGACTAAGACCATGTGGTGACGGATTAAGAATTCGGAGTGTCACCACCCCTATTCATCCCATGGGTGTCGTAAGAGGCGACTAAGGGAACAAACTACGTAGGATAACAGCACTGCAAAGAGAAGGAAAACTTGAAACAAACTCTATATCAACCCGTCTGGCTAGCGTGGTATAGTAGGCCAAAACCTCCTTTTTAAAGAGAGGCCTATGTCAAGCAGTGAAGTATTATAGTCTGCTGATGATGATGATCATATCTCCCGGAATGTACAAAAACACTGAATCAAATATTTCCTTAATTAGCAAATTCGTTAAAAATATGATCACACCTTTGTAGGCATAGAGCAGTTACCCATGCTATATAGCGTGACAAGTTTTTCAAAAACCTGATTCAAACAAAACCACTCGTATTTTTGTATATTATGTTGCAATGCGGCCACTTTTGTTTCAGTGGAACGTTTAGCATTATTATCATTATTAAATGTTTTATGGCGAAGATCCTAAACCGCTTTCTGTGCATACTTGTAATAGTATAGGACCAGTTTTATCAAGAACAATATACAATATAAACAATGTATTATTTTCTACCCCTAAAAGAAATTAAAGAGGAGCTGCCAATCCTATTATTGAGGCTGCATCGTTGCAATTTTCTTAATGTGGAAAACTAATAAAAAACAAAATAAGTTATTTCGTTTTTTATTCATTCACATACTGTATTCAAAGATTGCCGCTTACATATACAGGCTGTATATTAACTATCCGCTGATTTCTTATCGCTATGACCTTGAGCTCCGCCTTAGTTGATATTCGATAAATGCATAACAACGGCTGTGATTTCCCGTTTACGCAATGGGCAGTCGACCATTCGGGTCATGTATCCACAATTAACGAATAATAATATTGTTTTATCGTGTTCTGGGTTCGACTGTTGAGATGGAAAGGGAGTTATTCGGATGTTGGGATGGAAATACGCTTTGATAAACTAGGTAAGAACCTATAATCAAGAGATATATGATTTGTAAAACTTTTCTGGTCTAAAATGTTCAAAGTACTATTTAAAACATGTGGAGTGTTCTGGTTTTCATACAATTAGATGTTAAACGTTTAGTTTAAATTTAATATTAAAATGCTGTAAAACAAGTGCGCTTGGTGTCCATCTAGGTTATCAGTATCACAGTAACTAATCTCATTTACTCAGCATGTTATAATGATGCCGGGCGGCTATTGGAAACGTTCCGATAGTATGATAACTTTTCACTGATTAACCTTTTAATTAATTCAGTATGTAATCAAAGTAAGATTTTTTTTAAATGGTGCTAATTGAAAATTCAATAACAGATATTGAGTTTACTTTGATAATATGAATTAAAATGAAATCTTGTGGTTATATAGATATTTCTGAACATTGATGCTCGACTCCTGTTGGTTATATAGCCTACAGCCTTCCTCGACAAACGGGTTTTCCATTCTAACTAATAGTTCCTAAGATTAGCGCATCCACCCAAACAAACAAACAAGCTTTTCAGCCTTATAAAATTAATAGAGATTATACTATATGAATTATCGATTCGAAACGTTTGGTTCAATTCTAAATACATAAATACCAGAAAGGAATCAAAAGGTACCTAATTTTGCCATAACTGGTATTACCGTACCGTATATCTGGTGGTCTTGATAACAATAATCTAACCGACTTACAGGAAATTGACACAAATAATCAGTTGGAATAAAATATACACTTCTCTGTTTTCAGACTTATGTAGAACTCCACCAATGAAGAAGTAATAACATTACGGCATGAGACAGTTAGTTAATATCTTGTCTGGATCCATTTTTAGTATAAGCATTGTCTGTTCTAATAATAAAGTTGAAATTGTAAAATGCTGAATAACTAAGGCCGCTCAGACACAACCGGTATACTTCATAATTGAAGGCTTTCGTGAAAGGTCCCATAATTTGTGTATTTCCATAAATGAAACTAGGTTATGTGCTTTGCGTAGAAAACAAATACACGATCTCACAAATTGCACTATTCAAATCAGTTTGAACTTTTATTACAAAGTTTAACTGACGGATGTAGTTTCAATTGTAAATTAGATTGCAGCTGTCTGTTTTAAATTTTAAACCTAACTCTGTTAAAATAAAGATGATTGTTATTCAGCACAAACACAAATACACATATACAACTCTTAACAAGCAAAATGGCGCCTCAAATGCTTTAAATTAGTGTGTAAAGTTAAATCACTTTAACGAATTGATTTGCAGCACATTGCATTTTCTTGCTTCGAGCAGGTTTATTGTTAAAAGCTTATTTCTTATAAAAACTTACTCAACAGATGGGACTTGAGTATTTTCGCAACATGTAGTGATTAATTATTAAGCGATATTAGTACCCGATTTGTCTAGACGTAAATGGGTCGACTTGTAGGTTGGTAAAAGGCATCATAAACCCCATAACAAGCAAAGGAGTGTCGGAGACATGACTGCCATCAAATTCCATTAAGTTCTGTAGCTATAAAATGTAACACTCTATATATCTATTTGATATCTGTTTTACGATTGTTATTATTGCTTTATGCAGGCTAGAATGTTTGGTCCACGGACACCTACAACTCAAAGGTCACAAGTGCGTTGTTGCCTTTTAATTCCACCCTTTCCTCCTCAAAATTTCTGGGGGGTGGGGTTTGACAATGAAAATCTTGATAGTTATTTCTTTCCAGATGTGTTACTATATTAGTTTGGTGGAAAACACAAATTGCATGCGTAAGATGCGATGCTATCTAAATAATCATAATGTCTAAGAAGGGAAAAGAGAAAACAGTGCTTTTTCCTTTTCTGATTGTCAATCGGATTTATAGTTTTTTAGCGCAACTGACTATTAAAGGAATTTAGTGTACCTATACTCTAATGATGACTTTACTTGTTTACAGATCAACAGCAAATATAGCGAAGAGCTCGCACAGGAAAGTTTGGAATGGGTGCACGCTATCACCGGTGACCCCATTAACACCTCCGGTGACATGGACAACTTCTACGAAGTTCTCAAAGACGGCACTCTGTTATGCAAGTAAGTATTTATACATTTACTTGTATTCGTGAATCACTATTGTTGATCTTGGTGACAGAGATAGCAATATTGGTGGAAATAGTTGTGTGAAAATACTCGAGACTACGTATAATAATTTCGAGAAATTATTATACGTAGTCTCATACCGATATTTCATGTTTTCCATTGTGCGGTAATAAGCTACACCAAAGAAAAAAATAATGAGGAAAAAACAAATGAATTACTGTTTTCAAAACTCAAATGTACCAGCTAAATGAATTTATAAATTTGAATTTGGAATTCTTAACCAAAGAGGAGATATTTCAGATCAAAGTGGTCAGTACGACAAAACGCTAATTTCAAATGTAAGGACCTAATATTATTCGTAGACTTGAGACCTATTTCTTAGCGTTCCATGGATTCACCGTATAGGTGCCGAAGGGTCACTCGCGTGATAGATATGTATTACAGAAATTATATGTTACAGAAATTATATGTTTCAGAAAAAAATGTTTATAAAAACCCGGTATATGGACTTATTTATAAAAAAAATGATACATATATTTCTCATTCAGTGAGGTTTTTGTTTTTATTTTAGTGACATTTGTAGTACGGCTTTTCCAAAAATATCCTTGATACTAATTTTCATTTTTCTTCATTTCAGCCTTTTATCTTAAGAAGTTTTAAATTTTACTGTGTTAAAACGACATTAATATAAAAGTCGCGATGGCGATAATCTATGTCGCAGAAGCACTTCGACCTTTTTCGAAGTTCTTTTTTGTACATCATTTCGGGCCGGACCATAACCAAAGAACAATGTATCCAGTTAATCCTATTCACCTAGAAAAAATCTACTATTTTTCTATTTTTCAGACTTGTAAATAACATCCAACCGAACATGGTGAAGAAAATCAACGAATCAAAGATGGCATTCAAGTGCATGGAGAATATCAACGCTTTCCTAGAAGCTGCAAAGACTCTCGGAGTGCCAGCCCAGGAGACCTTCCAAACAGTCGACCTGTGGGAGAGGCAGAATCTCAATTCAGTCGTCATATGTTTGCAGTCACTCGGCAGAAAGGTGAATTGTTTTCTAAAAAGTATAAAGATACTCATTTAGCTAGAAAAACTATATTCATTTAACTAGAAATGGAAGCCAAGAAAAAAAGTAGCACTCTTATAAGAGCATATAATTCATCGCACCCTCAACTCAGGGTGATTTAAAAAAAGTTTTCGTATAACAGATTATAAATAAACATTAATGATTATTCAACCTCCTTTCTAAGGAGAGGCCTATGTCCAGCAGTAAACTATTATAGGCTGTTGATGATGATAATGATTATTCAGCAAATTAAAACTTATATGCCGTCACAAAACGCTTTCTTGTGCTAGTTAGATAATAAAAATTCAAGTTGAAATACTATGGACATAAATAAACTCTTAACATAAACGCTTAGCAGTAGCTGGAGAAATTAGCAAGAATAATAGTTATGTGTGACCACATAACGGGTAAGTATATTTAACTGTAAAAAGCATTCTTTTTACGATCCTACTCAAAAGATCGATTCATTCGATTAGCGAAGTTAAGTATTAAGTAAGTAGTTATAACAAACAATGAAAATTAAACCATTCTTCGTTTAAATCGTATGAATAGGTTACACAACCTATTCATTACCGTAGACAATATGAAATATGTAAATAAGTGCTTCGTGTAAATTAGTCACGATGTAATAAAATATATAATTGAAGTCAGAATTATCTCTGCAAATATTGCAATTTTACTTGAAAATCCTTTACTCAATGGTAATATTATTTTCTTTTGAACAGCGATGGCAATTCTAGTGATTTGTTTTTAGTTTTTTTTTGAACTCTTACACCTCAGCTCACCACAGTTCAATTTTTGTGTAAGATATTCATTCAAGTCGGTTCTTGGTTTGCAATTCTATACCTTAGTTCACAAATTGATCGTTTATGATCTCATTATTCCTGAAATTACAAGACCTTAATCCTGATATTCTAATTGATTAGTACAATCAAAAAGTTGTGTCTACATTGCTTGTTTTGTGCTTATCGTTGTTCACCATTCATAGCTATAAATTCAGTACAAAACAAGCAAGGCATTACTAGTCGCTAGAACTGTTTACATTTTAGTTAGTTCAAATAGAAAATAGAAGTAGCCCATTGTGCATTCCTTTGGACACGGAAAGGTACCACTCGGCGTGTTATTCACACCAAAGCATAACAAATGAGCAATATACTTCCCCTTGTTACTTATACGGATCAAAGGGTTAAAAAGAGACTGTTGCCGTTGTCGGATTTATTTAAAGAAACAGCGATCATCACATATCTTTCAAATCTGAATGGACTGATTGAAGACTTTGATCCTAAAGGAGCTAAAACATTGTAACTCGCTCCTAGATAACGCAGGCAGATAAAGTGGCAGGGGTCAGTCTACGTTTTTTTGCTTGCTTGCTTTAAATGTATTCCATTCAGTTTAGGTATATGTACTACAGGATATTCAACTCTACTACATTTATACTTGTTTATCATTCAGTCTCTATCAGAAATTTGTTACATATGAACCCATTCGGTATGTTTTTCATTTTTCTTTAATGCTATCTCTACTTCTATGTCATGCCGCTATCCAAAACAACTGATCTTGATATTACTGTCATTAATGTCCGCTAGATCTGAAGTCCGTGTATTGACAGATTAAGAATACGGAGTGTCACCACCCCTATTTATTCCATGGGCGTCGTGAGAGCTGTGTTAGGGAGCAAACTACGCAGGACAAACCCTATACCAATCCGTCTGGCCAGCGTGGTATAGTAGTCCAAAACCTCCTGTGTTAGGGAGAGGCTTATGACCAGCAATGGACTATAAAGGCTTTTGATGATTTATGAGAGAAGTGTTATTTGACCATTGCGTTCTACTACGTTACGTTCGTATTTAATATTTAAAATTATAATTGTAATGATACAAGTTTTCTGAAATCGAAAATTAAATTATAATTTAGAGAATGTTATTTGATTGTTTTTTTATTATTATTTTTCAGGCCGGTAACTACGGAAAGCCTTCCATAGGGCCAAAAGAATCTGAGAAAAACGTACGAAACTTCTCCGAAGAGCAACTAAGGGCCGGACAAGGCGTCATTTCACTGCAGTACGGCTCCAACAAAGGTGCCACCCAGAGCGGCATCAATTTCGGCAACACGAGGCACATGTAAGCTCTCATGCAGTCGCAACACCTGTAGTACATGATTATAAAGTTATAAGGATGATTGAAATTATGAAGAGGCCAAATTTAACTTGTGCGTTCCGTACGGACCAATTCAATTATATTCAATTAATCAATGATATTCAAGCTTGACTGACGAAAATCTCTTCAAAATTATATACTAAATTGGAGGTTTCCATTTTCGTAGTACTTATTTCTATAATAATCATCCCCGTTAAGACACAAATAAGAAGATGCACTGTACTTACTGTACTTACTTAAAATAAGAATAAGAGATTGACTTTTAAACTCTTTTGTAATAAGAATCTCTGTTTTTGGTCTTTTTGTCCCTTGTCGATTGTACCGTTTACAGACATGATTCCATATTTTTTTGAATGCGAATTTTAAAATTTGACTTTATATTATTATTGTTTATTTAAGATGGTCTTTAGAATCATATTCTTTCCAATTTTCATTAATAGTACTACATGTGCCAATTTCGATATTAACATTTTCTTATAATTTATTATAAAAATTAAATAATTATTACAGTACAATTATTAGAATTATAAATTCTTTTATAATAATACTTGTGCCTTCGCGCTCCATAGGAGTCGAGACTATGTTTTCTAAGGTGTCTAACAAAGGAAATATTTAAAATCGCTTTTGTCAAAATCAGGGTTTCTTCTATTTTGTTTATAATTTATTTAAAATATAAAATTAATCATTCCATATATATATTTAGTCTGTTAGTACCACTGTGATTAATGATTCTATAAACATTCTATAAGCTATATTTTGGTATAGTTATGAATTTATATATTTGACGATGACGCGTAATTCTACTCGTAGTTCTGTAAGTTTCATTAAGTACTTACTGCTTCGTGGAAGTACGTAGAAATAATAAAATTTAAGTAATCTAATTGTGTTTTTCTTTCCATTACTAATGTCCTTTTTCGTTGATATACTATCTTTATTCATGTCCTAGGAACTAGAACATGGTCTAGAAGCTATGCTTAGTTCGAGTTTAGATGGCCATGTGCTATATAACCCAAGATATCAATATTATTTGCTTAACAGTTCTCGGCTCATTTTCAGATTAATCATTATCAAGCGCAAGGAGAAGATTATTACTCATGTAGAATGTTTGCCAAGCTATACTATACATTGAAATTATGTATAAACAGGAGGCAAGTTTTATATTGTTTACAGCTCCTGACAGATTCGATTTTCTACTATCCTAGTTTCAATTGAACCAAAATTGGGTTGGTACAAAACTACGGTATTACACACACGATCAGGCCTGAGGGTCAATTCTTGTAATAAATTAGTAAAGTATTAATAAGACTAGCAGATTACCATTACAACTTTTGGTCAAAATACGATATAATCACATAACATTTCTTTTATCGAAACTCGTTTTAATAAAAGAATAAAGTTTATTCTTTCGAAACTCCTAAATAATCTCATAAACTCTTTTGATGGATAAGAAGTGTCACTGACGCTAGCTTGGCCACCATCTTGGATTTTAAGTAGTCAACAATTTAATGTAATTGTTATGATCAATTTGTTACTACGAGGCATGCCTTTTAAGTTTTGTCGTTTTGAACTCAATGCTTCAAATACTCAATCGTTTGACGAGCGCTGTGTGAGCTTGCCTTGTTGTGGTGCAGGATGATGCGTCGCTTTGAGTTAGATTTTCGAAGTTCGGCGATGACTTGTGGTAAACAAACTGTGGTATACCACTGCGTTAACCGTTCTACGATCTTCAAGTGCAATAGTCGCAACATGACCGGTTTTTCCAACAAACGTGGCCACCATCTTCTTTGAAGTGTTTCGAGAACGAACACCTTAGTTGGCTTTGCCTCGTCTTGAGAGACCCAGATTGTAGATTGTTGTTTGGAATCAGGATCGTAGGCATAGATCCAAGATTCGTCACCACTGATGATGTCGTAGACGTGATTTGACTCTCCTCGGTTGAACCTTTGCAGAGTTTTCTTAAACCATCTGATTCGGGCCGCCTTGTGATCGTCGGAAAGCAGATGCGGTATCCAACGGCAAACTATCTTTCTCACACCAAGCGCTTCATGCAAGATCATCTGAATGGTCGTCCCTGAAATGCCTAAAAGAGCCTCTATCTCTTGATACGTCACATGACGATCTTCGAGAATTAGTTGTCTCACAGCAATGATGTTATCTTCAGTGAAGGCGGATTTTGGGCGTCCTTCGCGAGATTTGTCACTAACACTATATAGTATGTCCACATGTTCGCAGACATAGGGCTTCATGACTGAACACAGATATTAGCTCTTCAAAACACCGAAGCCGTGTCAGGCCTCTTCTAAATATGACGACTGGATGGTGTAGTGGTTTGTGTAACGGACTGCTATTCCATAGGTCGCGGGTTCGATTCCCGCTCAGGTCAAACATTTGTGTGCATGAACATTTGATGTTTGATTTGGTCTGGGTGTTTCTATGTATAATATGTATGTATTTTACAAAAAAAAAAGTATATATGTATTTATATCAGTTGTCTAGTACCCATAGTACAAGCTCTGCTTAGTTTGGGACTAGATGGCGTTGTGTGTATGTGATAGAATATATATAAAAAAAAAAAGTTGTAGAAAGAACACCCAGACTCAGAACAACAATCACACAAAGTGTCGTCCCATGTGGGGTTTGAACCCACAATACTCGGCGTAGTAGGAAGCGGCGTGGCGACCGCTTAAATCACTACGCCATCCGTGCAGTCCAAACTAGTAATTTTAAGTGTGTATTTCATAACATACATATATGCCTTTGATTTAATATCGTTTACATCGTGTGGAAGTGAATGGTAAAAATTAAAGAGCATAATAAAGCAAATAATTTTCATGTTTTATCTCCAGTATCTCATAATCATGAACAGCCAAGGACATAACATCCGTCTTTTTAACTTTTAGAAAGTTTAAAATCTGCTGTTCAAACCTGATGCAGGTCGTCTGCGTATATCATTTCTGTGATCATTGAATAATTATGATACTTTGAAAAGACTACCGTCTGTGCGGAAGCCAATGTAGGCTCCTTCGGAAGTACCTACCTAGTAAATAAAACGTTAATAGGGTGGGACTTAAAACGCATCCTTGCTTTTTCCAGATCAGTAAAATTGCTTTACTATTATGTCTCTGTCAGGTCAGAAGCTACATTGGATTATAATAGGTAGAATCTTTTCAGACAACGTTTTAACCCTTTGACGGCCAAGGACGCATTAAAGCGTCATTTAATACTTTGATTGAGACACCAATGACGTCTTAAAGCGTCCACCGCACTTATTTTTTTACGGACGAATTAAACATGGCTAATGTTGATTTTAAGAATCAGGTGAATTGCCATCATCAAAACCCGTGTTGCACGCAAATATAATCCTTTTTTTCATCACTATAATTTTGTAGGTATAAAACAAAGAATTTGTTTCTTGGCTTAGAGCACTTTTTGTCGTTATTACCGTGCCGGTCAAAGGATTAAGGCGGCTGTATTCTGGAAAACACCTTTCTAAGGTTTTAAAATAATGAGATACTACGATAGGTAATAACCAAAATCCAGGCTGTCACTCCAATGCTGGATTGTTCGTGGTTGCCGTAAACATAAACTTTACCAACAACAAATTTAAGTTTAAGAAAAAAGAAAAACCGTAAAAACCGTTGCGGTGTGTACGGCATAATAACAAATAATAAGGAGTCATATTAAACATTTTTAATAAGTTCTGGGTTTTGTTCCGTTATTTTATGTTTTGTTTGTTCTGGTTTTGGGCGCCTACAATAAATTTAATAGCAACTAATATCAGCACGTAGGAAGCAGTTAAGTCTTATTAAAAATACCATTCTATACATATACCTATCCTGTAAGTCCATGCATTCGTTATTGAGGTACCGTTATACGTCATCTAGTTGTTGTGATCATCTTCGTCCTAGGTTTAATAACATTATCAGTCAATATTCCGATAACAAAAAAAACAAAGGGTGAATATTTATTCTAACATAAAATTATAATTCTTATTTCTACCTAACTCCATTCAGTAATGTTTACAGTAAAATAATACTGTTAGACCCTAAAATCTTAACAAATTATAATAAAATTTTCAAAAAAATTGAGTTTATCGAGTCACCTACGGTCCAATTCAATCCAATTCTGAATCTAAATTTTTATAATCCAGGAATAAGTGGATTAACACATAAAACCAAGATCCCGATTAGAAGTCGATCACGATTATACTAATAGACGGTTTCGGCATCTGGAATGTCCGTTTCATTCGATTAGAAGCCTTACTCCCTATGAACAGAGAGTTACCTCTTTATGGTTTCCCATAAAGCCATATTTTTAAACTCCAAAGCTCTTTTATGATCTCTCCAATTTTAACTCAAAACATTAAAAGCATGACTGATATAGCTTCTTTTATTTTGACAACTTTTTAAGAGCGATATGAAATACAGTCTTGAGAATTGCACACGTTATCAACCATGATAGGTATGTAACGTGTGCAACGCGTTTTAAGAACACTGCTTTGAATAAAACTTTTTTTTCGCCTATCCGTCAGAACTATAAGGGCAGTAGTTTATTGCACCGGTTATCAAATCAGGCAGGTATGTAAATATTTTCTTTGCATAGCAACCCCGTTATTGTAATAATTTCAAGTCCATTTTTTACAGTATTTATAGAATGGCTTTACGATATACAACAAATAATTTCCATAAATGCTAATAGGAAAGTTGTTTTTAAATTATTTATGCAAAAAAAAAACTCACGACTTGCGTCTTTGTCAGCGATTAATTAAAATCAGTTAAAAGTGACAACATCAGTTAAAGCTAATAAATTTTCGAGCATGTCATTTGGCACTATTTGCCACTATTCTGATAATTCAGAGAATACAACATTCAAAGATTTGACAGTTAATGCGATATTTACAGAAGAAAAAGCTATACGCTATACTTACGCGGTGTTGACGGAGGCGGACGTTTGTTAATGTCGCTATAGAATAGATAAACGTGCATACAATATTCGTTCTAAAAGTTTGCAAGTGATGTGCAAGTTTTGTGTGACTGACTCGGCAATACAACAATTTAAATAAATAGAAAGTGTAAAGTGGCGGATCGGAGCAGCAAGCGGGGGGACAACTACCTCACCGCTACGGCAAGAGACAGTACGTATTAATTGCCCTCTCTGTCTAAATCGGCTGCAAATAAACTAAACTAAGTAGTCACCGCACGAGTTAAAGATTCTTACAAAGCAAGGTAGTAGGTAGATGTACACTATGAAACGCTGCGCTGCCGAATGTACCATTGATCTGAATACAGAGGATTACATGGAATGTACACGGTGCAGGGATGCTTACCATTACGTTTGCCTGAACCTGTCTCCTACGGAGGTCGCATCTCTGGACCAGGATATTAAGCGTAGCTGGTCATGCCCCAGATGTTTCAGTAAGCAGCCGAAGGGAGGAAATATTGACCTACCAGTGCGCCCATCAATTCCAACTTCCACCGCAGACGTAACATTTAATGTCACGCGTCGCAAAGTGCAACAAAGGCCGGAATCGTTACAAATGACTACCCCACACTCAGATTTCGTCTTGCGTACCGAGCTAAGGGAATTAATACGAGAAGAAATGCGTAATGTTGTGAAGGAGTGTATCACTGACCTTAATATCACATTGAAAGAGAACCTGCAAGCTATGCGTGAACAGATTAGTAGTTTTAAGGATTCCCTAAACTTCATGAGCGATCAGTATGATAACCTGCATAAGACGGTGGAAGAATGTCGAACCAATCTCATATCTTTGAGTAAGGAAAATGAAAGTCTGCGGTCCGATAATATAAAGCTTTCAAACAAATTGTCATTACTAGATCAGGCATCCCGAGCCTCTAACCTTGAAATTCTATGCGTCCCTGAAAAAAAATCTGAAAACGTCATGAGTATTGTGAAACAGTTGGGTCGCGCTGTCAACTGTAACATTAATGATAACGAGATACTTTACTGTTCGCGCACGGCTAAAATAAATCCTACAAATGCTCGCCCCCGTTCTATCTTGGTGAAGTTGAGTTCCCCACGTACCCGTGACATGTTATTATCATCCGTTGCAAGTATCTACGTGCGCAAGTCCGAAACAACACACACGGTACACATAAGTAATTTAGACATACTGAATAAGCTGGTGTAAATAATGTTGGGCGACGCATATTTTTATTTTTATTTCTTTCTTTTGTTTTTTTTCCTGTTATACATGTATTTCTCATCAAACCAGTTATAAATTCATTCCAATAAATTTTTATTTGCATAATTACTCGAACGTGATGAGCCCAGGCATTGTATCTAAACTAAAAGTGCCGTTTTCTTCTACTAATTTGTTACGACACTACTTATGTTTTCAAACCGTTGTAAATTATATAAGAGAGGTGGAAAGATCATACTTCGTGCTGATTAGAGATGTTTGCTACGTTGGTGGTCCTGTCATCGTTTCATTAAATAAGCTAAATAATTTATGTATTGGTGGGGGGTTTGAGGTCTCCTATAGCTATTATGGGGTATATTCGCTCGGATGTTTAGGTGCGGAGATTATGACCACGAACTGTTTACAGGGGCTGATCCCCATTATTGTGTTTGTTGACGTAAGTCACGGTCTTGTGTATGTATATATATGTGTGTGTCTAGAACGAGTCCCGAGTATAGAATACTACATAGCTGGGACCAATTTCTTGTCTCATATATTATTATCACTTAGTTTTACAAACTTGTTTAATGTCTTTAGAATGGAGGAAGTAGGTATATGCATAACTTTTTTATTCAACCTATATACCAATGCAATAATAATTACATGTTTACTTTTGTTGTTTAAGATAATTGACTTTTTGATATTTGGCTATACTTTGAGGCTGCCTGAACATGACGATGAACTGAGTGGGGATGTGCTGATGTATGGTGTTCGGTGGACGAGCGGGATATTCGGGGTTATTCCTGTGGGTATTTGTTCGAGCCTACTTAGCAATAGCTCATTAACAAAGTGCCATCGTGGGTCCTATATACATATCAATAAATATATGGGTATGCATATCAATAAATATAATTATCAATATTTTTGTTGAATATAACTTATTTACGACATATTGCATTGCTTTCGACGCAGCTGGTATGAACGCTGGAGTGACAGTAGTGTTGACGGTGTACTACCTAACTAACACTGCACAGGCTTCTCGCATTATACTTTGTATCATGTATTCGTATACTCTTCCGACTACACATAATATGCACAGTGACATAGTAGATGGGGCGTTTGTTGGAAGTACTACTCATAATTACGAGTCATACGAACTACTATTTGTATCTAGTTATTGCGTCGGTGTGGTGCGCTTGCATGAGTGCGCAATGGAGCACACACAAACTGGAGCAGAGTTATATTCTTTATACATCCATACACTTAGTTACACATGTTCTCCAATTCTAGTTGGGTTATGCGGGGTGTACGATTGCAATATATACCATGGGGCTCAATTAAAGATCTTAGCAGCGGACCAGTTTGGTAAACAACTGTTTCTACCTACTTATGTATTTTGTCGGTGCCTTTCAGGTTTAGCATTGTCGTGTCGTGATAGTTTTGTACTATTAACGTCCCGTTCAAAATGTGGTACAAGGACACTCACTAATGACTATAAAGATAACGTATTATTACATCGTAACACATTTATTGGTATGACCAGAGATAGTTCTTTAAGTGATTTAGCATCTGGGATGCGACTGCTGGGCCTTGATTCATGGTGCTGCAAAATTTAACCTCAATGGCTACTAGAAGTAAAAATTTAAGTATCTATTATCAAAATGTCCGTGGCCTTCGCACAAAATGTTTAGATCTGTACAACAAGATTCTTAGCCACAACTACGACATAATTTTAATAACAGAAACATGGCTACAAAGGGACATCTTAAATTGCTAGTTATGTGATAATAGATACGAAATGTTTCGACGTGATCGCGATCTGTTACGTACCGATAAAGAAAGTGGAGGCGGTGTATTGATTTGCATCAAACGTAAATACACCGCCAGTGTGCGTTTTGACTTTAGTGGTGCTACGGCCGAGCTGCTTTGTATATCAGTCTCAGCTCGAATATTACGCACACAAGTCAATTTACACATTATTTTGGCATATATCCCATCCGGTAGTCCTTCTATACCTACTCAACTCGATGAGGTTAAAAGATCGGTGCTTGAGATTGCGTCGTCCCATTCGTCTGACACGGTCTTGCTAGTGGGGGATTTTAACCTTCCCTGCTTGCAATGGTCCGATGATAACTATCTGTTGGCTAACATTGGAACAAAAGAGATTCAGTCTGCGGCTACCCTATTTGTTGAGTGACAGTATTGAAATGTTTGTTCCTTTAGTAAAAAAATACAACAATTATCAGTATCCTACATGGTTTAGCCCATCCTTGGTGAAGACAATTAAAGAGAAAAATAAACTTCACAAAAGATGGAAAAAATTTGGTAACTTCCGTGATTATCTAGAGTTCACTATTCTTCGTGATAGACAACACCGCGAACAGAAAAACTGTATTCGTATTTTTATAGCTAACACTGAAAATAATATAAACCGCAACTCAAAAGCTTTTTGGACGTACGTCAAATCAAAGAGAGGCGGCAGTCAATACCCTAACCAGTTTACATCGGAAGGTGCTACTTTTACTGAAGGACAGGCCGTTTGCTCAGCTTTCAACAGTTTTTTTCTTAGTGTGTTTAACGATGTGCCTTGTGATGGTTCTGAGACCATGCCTGGTACAGATTGTGATACTCGGCTTAATGTTTTGTCGGGAATAGATATAACGGAAGATATGGTTCTCAACTTGTTGACGTCACTCGTCAAGACAAAAGGCCCCGGCTATGACAGAATACCTGCTATACTTTTATCAAAATGTGCTAAAAATCTGTCATATCCTATATTTTTGATATTCAGAAAATCATTACGGGATTGCATATTTCCGTCCATGTGGAAAAAAGCGCATATAATACCTATCCATAAAAAAGGATCAAGGTCACTGATTCAAAATTATCGTCCTATATCTATTCTTGTTATAATAAGTAAGATCTTCGAAAAGATTATATACGACAACATTTACCCTATCATTTCACAGAGCATCCCGGATACTCAGCATGGTTTTGTGAGGGGTCGTTCCACTAACTCTAACCTTGCTCTATTCTGTGATTATGTATTGTGTGGGATGGAGTCCATTGGGCAAGTTGACACTATTTATACAGATTTTGAAAAGGCGTTTGACCGCGTTCATCATGACATATTACTTGCAAAATTATATAGATTAGGAATCCATGGAGACTTATTGCCTTGGATTAGGTCGTACTTAACGAACCGCTCACAAGCTGTAACTGTGGGGGGCTTTAAATCTAATTTCATCAATATCCCCTCTGGAGTACCGCAGGGGTCTCACCTCGGGCCTCTTCTCTATTGTGCTTACTTGTATGACATAGACAAGTGTTTTGGTAATTCGAGGCATCTAATGTATGCTGATGATAAAAAGATATATTTCAAAATTAAATCTACACTTGACTGTGAGTTGGTGCAACGGGATCTGGACGCATTGTTCTCATATTATAAACGCAATAAAATAACGGTTAAAATTGATAAATGTCAGTGCATAAGTTTTAGTTGTCGTAGAAGTCCTATCAAGTACACATACAAATTCGGTGATAATGTTATCACTAGGGTAGATCATGTAAGAGACCTGGGGGTAGTGTTGGATTCCAAAATGCTTTTTTCTCGTCATATAGACACCATTACCAGTAAGGCATTCAGAAATCTAGGCTTCGTTATGCGTACGTGCGCTAAATTTAGGAATATCAACTGCCTTAAAACTGTTTACCGCTCATACGTGCAAAGTGTACTTGACTATGGCAGTCCTGTTTGGTCTCACTCGTTTGCCTAGGTGTTACAATATTAATTTTGACGAGATCGACATCTTCCACCTCTCAAAAAGTGCATTTAAAAGACAAATAACTAAAAAGTTGCAATCATACTTATGAGTCCAAATTAAGATTGTTTTTGTAAGTTGCTTTCTTTATGAATACTTCTCACTCTGCACAATATACCTTATATAAATTAAATTATAGATAGTATATAATACGTACAATTGCCTATGTTTAAGTGGTGCACGCAATTTTCTTTTACTTGTCGCGAAACTTTATTATTGGCTAAGAGTCTAAAAAATGTTTAACTTCACCCATGATATATGTAACATAGCTGTTAAGTTTCCAAATAAATAAATAAATAAATAAATAAATAAAAATGCAAGCTTTCGTACATACGGTCACGTGTACCTACCTGTCTGTGCTCAGTTAACTCTTGCATAATAGGGTTTCATTTCAGAAGGGACAAAAAGGCAACTGTCTTTAACTAGTCCCTAGTTAAAAAGCCTAGATTCGTTAAGTTTGTTAAACGAGTCCTAGTTGTTTACTACAAGGGTTGTAACTGCGTGAAAATAAGGATGCACATATGCAAGAATAAACACAGCGCTAACAAGAATGGCAGCCTTTATGTACTCTCTTCTAAAACATTGATTTTACCTAATCGTGTCAATAGTTTTAAGTAAGTGAGTATTTTACACTGGGAACACTGAACAAATCATGACTTATGGGGTATAGAGTAATAGAGCAGAGACCTGTCGGTCATGTAATCTTTGGCCGTATAATAACATTTATTTAGCAACAAGTCATGTAGTTTCTTTTTAAACATGATAATTTCTTTAACCTTCCTGATGTCTCTTGGAATATAGTTGTATATAGGCGAAGCTGTACAGAATATACTTTCATGCATCAGACAGATGTGTCTTGCTAGCAACTATGTGCAATTTATCCTTATGTCTTATGCGTTGACGATAGTTAAATAGCTCAGGATTATTCTTAACAAATAATGCAACTTCTAAAATGTATAGACTTGGCAAGTTTTTTTAAATATGATACACAAGTCGGTTTCCTGCAGATTAAGCATAGCCCTTATACAGCGTTTTTGTGATACAAATGCTCATCCTTTGTCTGAACCATTACCACAAAAGATTATGACGTATCTTAAGGTTGAACTAACGTAACCATGGTAGGCTGCTAGAAGTCTTTTGATTCGCTATTTTTCTGAGCCTGTTTAGAGCATACGAAAACTGGCTTAG